AGGCTAATTCTGCCTGTTTTTATCCCCCAAATTCATGTCAGGAATAGCCATTTGTTAACCACACAGACTATGCTAAGCCCTAAAAATACAGACCCGAGCGATGTGCTTGTGGTCAGGGGGCATGAAGCCTGGTATTTGACAGTGTGATACACGCAGCGGGGAAGAGATGCAGAAGGTCCGGTAGGGCGTCCAGGAGGCTGGCATGCTATGGGATTTGGGTGAGTGGACCTGGGAACCCAACACGTGTCACCCAGGCAGAGCTGCTCCCACTCAACCACTACCCATCTTGCGCATGTCCTTTTCAGCACCTCCGGGGGGCTCTGTTCCCCTGACAGCCCCTGACAGCCTCCAGGGACCGGGACTTCAGATGAGCTGGAGGAATGCAAGAGTCCTCTTGCCTCAATTCCTTTCCTTCAGTCTAGGCTGTACCAGGAGACAAAGCCCTGTCCTGCTCTACCTGGGGGCTGATGGCATCACAAACAGGCTGCGGTGTGTTTTCATGACAGCTCTTTTTGTCAAGTGTCAATAGTTCCAATTAAGTTATTTCAGTTTAGGGGCGCCTGGGTGGCTCAGTCGGTTAAGCGTCTGTCTTCGGCTCAGGTCATGATCCCAGGGTCCTGAGATCGAGCCCCGCATTGGGCTCCCTGCTCGGTGGGGAGCCTGCTTCTCCCTCTCCCTCTGCCTGCCCCTCTGCCTACTTGTGCTCTCTCTATCTCTCTGTCAAATAAATAAATAAAATCTTAAAAAAAATAAGTTATTTCAGTTCAAAGCCTCCCTCTATGAGGAGGTGTGGGGGTGGTGAGATTCACTGTCACCCTCCCACTACACGTGAAATGCGTGAGTTGCACTGGGTACAGTCAGAAGAGAAAATCGTTTCTCTGTCAGATGTTCTTCGGCATCTGACAGTGTTGGGGGGGCGGTGGATTTGTGGTGGGCATGGCTCGGAGAAGCCTTCCCACTTTGCAAGGCCCCTGGTCGGCTGTGCTCGGGGCCTCCTCTGCCTGGAAGCGCATTTGTTGTCTGAGAGTTTGTAAATTGGTTGCTGTGACTTTTTAGAATTACAGCCGAATTCTTGCCAAGGATTATATAGTATAAGATTAATAAAGTAATAAAAAGATTAATAACATAATACGAGGGAGCATAGCTGGTTCTCAAAGTGGCACTTGGTCTCTCAAGTGATCAGAGCCAGAGGTAGAATCTCACAGAGCACTGGCTACAGGCTGAAAGGATCTGGGAGAGGGTAGGAGGTGGGCCAAAAACCAGGAGAATTCAACAGGTTGGCCAAACAAGGGGAGCCAACTGCAGGACCCAGAGGAGAACAGGAAAGAAAATATGCCAGCAGATCCCAGGGATTCAGCATGATTTGCTCGCCATAGCAGATTGTCAGGAGGGTTCTGAATATTGCCTGAGAATTGATGCTTTCCAAGAATCACTACGAGATGAAAAGTAGCTAAAGGGATATAGTAGGCTTGTTCAAACAATGTCCCAGAGAACATTTGTTGTTGTTTTTTTTAAGATTTTTTTTATTTATTTATTTATTTATTTATTTATTTACCCAGCGGGAGAGGGAGGGAATCTCGAGCAGACTCCGAGCGAAGCATTGAGCCCGATGCGGGGCTCGGTCTCATGACCCTGAGATCATGCCCTGAGCTGAAATCCAGAGTCGGGTGCTTAACCGACTGCGCCACCCAGGTGCCCTGAGTACATTTGGTTTCAAGAATCAAATCAAGAGTGGAATTGGAATTAAGGCCATTAGTGTGTGTTGCCATGAATACAATTTTTAAAAATATTTTTGGTTGGTGAGAATATCCTTTCCCAGATCAGTCCGCTTTCTCTTTTTTATTGTTACATTACACGTCCAAGGACTTTACTCTCTCCATTTGTTTCAAGTGCAGTGAAGAATCTCACCTGAAGGCCAGTGGTTCACCTGTCAACAATTGGTTAAAAAATGTTTATTGTGCTGTTGTTGACAGAACCTAGATAAGACACAACACCAGAAAGAACAAGAAATGTTTGGCACAAGTACATAGACTTCTACCCCCAGTATTGCTACCTCGATGTTTGCTTGTTAATCGTTTAGAAATTTTCCCACTAACACCCAAGCTACTGATCCTGTCATCCTTCTGTCAGCAGCTCCCTTTTGTCAATTGTGAGACTAGAAGCATCTGAGAAAGATCCAGATACCTTAAAAAACAAAACAAAACAAAACAAATTTGATGTTATAAACTTTACCACTTAAACAAAATCTAGTATTTTAAAAATTCTGTGTGTCATCTGTGGCTTCAGGAGTCTAAACATCACAAGCAACATCCCAGTTCCACACTGCATAAAAATCAGCCACTTGGTTTTCAAGTGCACGCGGGGCCTTGCACGGTTCTCCAGAACGCGGGTCGCTCTGCCAGCGCCAAGGGGAGATGCTGAGTGTGCACGAGCCCCTGGGCATACAGACTTCTGGAGGGACCCCGCGTTCTTTATTCTTTCTTTTTCTGAGTGAGGGATGGTGGCCAGAATTTCCCTCTTTCTAAAAGGCAGGGAAGGAGGGAGAGGGGGAAGAGAAGGAGGAAGAGGATGTTTTTTTAAGGAGCCCTCCCTCTCATGCCCAGAGTGCTGGAGAGCGGAGTCTGGGGAGCTCCAAATAATACAGTATCAGCTCCTCCTCGGAGTGAAACCTGCTTTGCAGGGGCCGTGAGTCTTACCCCTCTACACATCATGGCTCAGGGGATCGGCTCAGTCTTTGCTTATAAACTTTGGAATCAGCTGTTGGAGGGGCCGACCTCTTCCTTTTCAGGGCTCCTTCCCCATGTCTGTCACCCGTGTCACACCTGGTACGTGACATGAGCTTGTGCCCCAAATCCTGCACTGAACTCTGGCTGCCCCTGCACCACTGTTGGACAGTCGATGCCCTGGAGTGGCTGAGCCTGGCTAGCTTGCCATCTCCCTAAGGAGTCGAGCAGATCCCATGACATGGAAGCCAGGGCTCCTGCCCACCAGCCTGGCTCTGTGCTCAGGATATCTGCCATCTGTCCTGCTGGGAAGTGACACCGGGTCAGACGTCGCCGATGAGCCATCTGTGCCTCCCTGAACTTTCCGTCAGGGCACACGGATGGCTCTGGAGGCTCAGAAATAAGCTCCTTACAGAATGCAGTCACCTCCCACCATCTGTGCCCTTGTGGCCGCTCAGACCAGAACATCAGCGCGGAGAGAGCATACGTCCTAAATCAGCAAGACATTTACTGTGGTAAACGGCTCCCTTTTGTCAGTTGCCATAATAGGAGTGTCTGAGAAATATGCTCTTAGCAGTTATAGGGAAATGGAAGTATCGATGTGGCCAGCTCCCAATTATCCAAGGGCCACTTCTCCGATTTGTGAGTTCCCTAGCTTCATAGTTCTGTTTCTCCTTTCGCTCTTGCACTGAGGGTGAACGAAGCAAAGAAAGGACATATGTATTTATTTTGCTCTTGGTAAAAAAGACAAAAATAAAGTCTAATTCAAGTGTGGAGGAATGGGGGCTGAAATCGGAAAGTAGATTTGGGGGTTATCTGTGGATTGTATTTCTTACCATCCATCATAAACAGAAACTTTCAACAAAAGTTTGTATAGTCCCCAGTCCTACTTAGGAAAATTTATCGTAACAAACATAAGAGAGGATTTCCCTGTTAGTTTTCCTGCAACGGGACTTTTCTTACAGACTAAAGAAGCACTCACTTTAACCGTAAATATATTTCAATGGATGGAACTGGGACAAGGGTGAGATCGACCTGGTTCAAATCCCAGCTGGTCCATATCTACTGGGTGGCATCAGAAAGAGAACTTCTCTGAGGCTCATTTCCCTTAGATCAGGTGCAGCGAATGATCATCATGAGGGTTGCTGAAAGGGTTATAGTAGAAAACATTTATGAATAACCCAGGTCACGACAGGGAGTTGGTTTAGAGACCAGTTTCTCAGTGGATCACTTTGGGCAGGTTCCTGGAACTGTCAGTCCCTCTGGGTCCTCACCTGTGACTTGAGAGTCATCATGATAATGATAATTAAGCTCTTCCCCTCAAGGCCAGTCAGGATAAGTGAGTTAATGCATCCCAAAGCCATAGAACACACAATCCAGCAGACAGCTAGTTTTACTTTGTCTACTCTCTTAAGTTTTCTGGAAAGTCTATGCTAAAGACATGTCCGTCAAGTATATTTGGGTGAAAAGGAGATTTTGCTTGTGAAGATGCACTGTTTTTCTTATATTTATTTAGTCTTTGCACAAATACATATGGCAGCCACTTCCAGCTGGGAGACACTGGGAGTGGGTATCCAACCCGGGGCTCAAGCCACAAGGCCAGGAACAGAAAGTGCAAGAATAGGACAAAATAAGCTGAGACAGGCTGGAGGACTCTTGGATTAGAACCGAGGAATTGGAATTAAGGAGTGTTTTTGCTGTTTCATGGATGAGAAACACCTGCCCCAAACCTTCGAGAGTGAGCTGAGAGCAGGCCTAAGGTAGTTTCCCAGGGACCAGATTTCAGGTCTCACCTTCCCTGGATTGTGAGCTCCATGAAGGTATTAGGAGAAGGGTTCACTTTCATGCCCCCACGGCACCCAGGAGGGCCCTACCCCAGGGGCCAGAAATGCTTCCCTGAATTAATTTTAGGTGAAGTCACACCCCAGGCTCCAAGTGGAGTCCACCTGTCTCTGACTCAGTCTCGTCTGAGCTGCGGTACCTAGCACAGCACTGACATGAAATAGTCACCCTATTCCAATTCATTGATAGATTGATTAGTTGAACTTTTTTGTTAATCTCATTACACACACGCACACACACACACAATGCTCTCATGATTTTCTAGCTAGAAAAACCAACACATAAAATAATTTCTATATCTCTACCCAGTTTTTAGAATCACAGAAAGCTCAGCCTGGGGGGCAGACAGAAAAAGAGAAGAAAAATCTAAAAAAATGTTTTATGTCTCGGGCGTTTAAATAGTCAGGCTTGTGTCTCTCCTTTATCACTTCACAGCTCCTGAGGTCCTGGCCCAGAAACCATACAGCAAAGCTGTTGACTGCTGGTCCATCGGGGTGATTGCCTATATCTTGTAAGTATTGCTTGCCACCTTGGCTGGTTTTTTCTTTCTTTCTTTTTTTCTTTTTTATTGTGGAAAAATATACATAACACAAAATTTACCACTTTTACCATTTTTTAATGAACTGCTCAGTGGCATCAGGTACATTCACAGTGTTGGGCAACTATCACCACCCGCCATCTCTGGAACTTTCTCATCTTCCCAAAGGACAGCTCTGTCCCCGTTAAACACTAACTCCCTGAAGTCCCTGGCAGCCACCCTCCTACTTTCTGTCTCTGTGCATTTGACTACTCTTGATTCCTTGTGTCAGTGGGATCATCCAGTATTTGGCCTTTCGTGACTGGCTTTTTCATTTATCATAATGTCCTCAAGATTCACCCATGTTGTAGCAGGTGTCAGAATTTTCTTCTTTTTAAGGCTGAATAATTGTCCATTATATGCATATAATACATTGTGTTTTTCCATTTATCCATCAATGGACAGTGGGTGGTTTCCACCTCGTGGCTATTGTGCCTAATGCTGTTACGAGCACAGCTGTACAGATGTCTGCCTTTAGGGGTATACCGGAAGTGGGGTTGCTGGATCATATGGTACTTCCGTTTAACTTTTTGAGGAATCTCCATACTGTCTTGCAAAGCAGCACCCTCGCTTTACGTTCCTGACAGCAATGCGCAAGGGTTCCAGTTTCTCCACACCCCTCCCAACACTGATTTCCCATGTTTTATAATAGCTGTCCTGATCGGTATGAAGTGCTTTCATTGTGGGTGTGATTTGCTTCCTCGTTTTTAAAATTTATTTGTAGTGTGCTTGTTTGAGTAGAGTTGACACACAGTGTTAACATTAGTTTCGGATGTACAACATAGTGATTTGAACTCTATAGCTTACGCTGTGCTCAAAAGTGTAGCTGCCCTCTGTCACCTTACAAGGCTATTACAGTATCATTGACCATATTCCCCGTGCTGTACCTTCCATCCCCATGACTTAGTCTTTCCATCGCTAGAAGCCTGGACCTCCCTCTCCCCTTCACCCATTTGGCTCATCCCCCACCCCCCTTCCCTCTGGCAACCATCAGTTTGTTCTCTGTGTTTATAGGTCTGATTCTGCTTTTTATTTGTTTATGTATGTATTTGTTTCATTTTTTTAGATTCCACATATGAATGAAATCTTATGGTATTTGTCTTTCTCGGTCTGACTTAATTCACTTAGCATAATACTCTCTATGTCAATCCATGTTATTGCAAATGACAAGATCTCATCCTTTTTTATGGCTGAGTAATATTCCTCTGTGTGTGTGTGTGTGTGTGTGTCTGTCTGTCTGTCTGTCTGTCTGTCAATGGACACATGGGTTGCTTCCATGTCTTGGCTATTATAAATAATACTGCAATGTTTCTCTTATGGCTAATGATGTTGAGCATTTTCTCATGTGCCACCTTGGATTTCCTGGGGACACAAACCACTATAAAAGTATTAGGACATCGCCAAAAGAAATCAAAATGAGAAAAAATTTGATGAAAACCAAAATTGAGCTTTTAGATTCCTCATTTCTTCTCAGGTACCTCACTTATACAACCCAGGAAATGCTATCATAGGCATAGTGTTGTCACAGTTAATTAAGAGTGATCAATTTTGGGTTTTATTATTATTTTCTATTTTGCTTAAGTCCACTGTCAAGTTATTTTTTAATTACAATTTCTTTTTGCAGTGATACTTTCAAACGCTTACTACGGAGCATATTCCTAGAGTGGGTTTGGGCCAACTGGTGTCTGTAATTGATAGGAAATGAATTTCTCCCCAAGGAAGGGAAGGCTTTCTAGCAGATAGAGCCTGCTACACACAATGAAAGACCATGGGGGATTGTGATCAGAGAAAGGTCTGACAGTATGTGGCATCCTCAGGGACTGCTGGAAACATCCCCCCTGTGTTGGCTTTGTCTCATTATCTGGAAGGCAAGCAGTCTTTCTACAGCATACATTCAACTGGGCAGCTTTTGTAGTTTAGTGTGGATTTAGTTGACAGCTCCTGTAGATGCCTGCCATTATCACAGGATTTATCCATTATAATGTCCTTGGCCCCTATGGCTCCCACTTATGGAAATAGGTAAAGGCCAGGTTCGTCTGAGCTATAAAACTAGCATATTGCATACAGAGTGCTTTCACTTTCAAAGCACGTTGACTGTTTTCTAAGGTAGTTTCATCCTTTTTCGTGGGGAGGGGGGAGTTACAGACCCTTTGAGAATCTGGTGAAAGCTGTGGGCCCTTTCCCCTAATAATTTCACACACACACACACACACACACACACACACACACACACACTTCTGCATACCTCGTTAGGGAGCTTCCTGGGTAAGCCGAAAGCAGACACAGGCCATGTGTTCTTCACTCTGGCTCCTTAAAACCCCAGTGGAAATTCTTGTCAGAGATCCTACCTTGCCAAACTTGACATGGAAGATTTAAAGAAATGAATGACGAGCCACTGTCCTTCCTGTAGAGGACCAAAGCTGGTATCATCTAGAGAAATCTGGGGCTAGGCAAAAAGTGCCCCTTCATCTGGGCTTCTGCTTGCTTGTTCCTTCACATCTGTTCTGAATCCTGAACCACCGCTCTGGTCTACACCAATGTCGATAGATTGCCTTTGTATATATAACTGTATATGTAATTGTCTCCCTGAAGTCTTGGCACTGGGGTAGGGTATCTATCTGCACAGCTATGAGGAGGTGCAGATGGCTTTACTGAGATAAGCATTGGTATCTTAGACATTCTGGCTGCTAGAACAAAATACGGTAGACCAGATGACTCAATCAGCAGATTCATTTCTTACAGTTCAGAAGTCTGGGAAGTTCAAGATCTAGGTGCCTGCTGATTCAATTCCTGGTGAGGACCTTCTCCCCACCTCACAGACCGCCACCTTCTTGTGTCCTCGCAAGGCAGAAGGGGAACATGCATGTTCTCTGGTGTCTCTTCTTATAAAGGCACTGACCCCAGTATGGAGGCCCCATCCTCATGACCTCATCTGAATTTAATTGCCTCTCAAAGGCCCATTTCCAAACACCATCACATTGGGGGTTAGGGTTTCAACCTATGAATTTGAGGGGGATACTCTTCAGTCCATAGGAAATGGTTTGGTTGTGCTGTGCTTAATAGAAGTATTACAGTGGAATCCCCTTAAAACATGGACATTTCAGGATGGACATAGCACCTACTTTATAATAATGCTGACATCAAACATCTGTAGAACAGTGCAAGAATATAAATATGGTCACAAGTTTTATCTCCCTTCACCCTCCCTGCAATCCTACAAGATAGATGCAGTTTTTATTAAACCCACTGAGAGAAGATAAAACTTAGGGAGACTATATAACTTGGTATCGGAATCGACATTTGAACCCAAGCCCCACTCTGACTTCCAGTCCAGCTCTTTGTGCTAACATCTTATGCCCTCACATGCAGACATGGCCATGTCGCTGAGAGAAGAGGACGTTTCTTTCCATGTTATATCCAGCTTGTGTTTATTTCTTTGTGCAAATGTTTACAGAATATGTACCATGCACCTGTCACTATGCTCGATACTGGGAATGAGTGCTCAACAACACATACACAGCCCCTGTGTTTGTGAAGCTGGCTCACAGTCTCGTGAAAGAGACAGGCATTCAAAGAAACCTCATAAATGAACATGGAATTTTAAATGTGCAAAGTGCTTTGAAGGAAGAGGATGAGGGGCTCTGGCAAAGTGGAACAGAGGTTACCTATTTCTAGCAGGTGGCTAGGGAAGCCTTCTCTGAGCAGAGGACCTAATAAAACAAAACCTAAATGATGAGTAGGTTAGGCAGATAAAGCGTGAGGAGGAAGTATTCCAGGCAGAGTGAATAGTGTGAGCAGAAGATGCTTTCAGCTGCAAGTAAGGGACAAACCAGGCCCAACTGGCATAAGCATTTAAAAAAAAGTCATACCTCACACAATAACAAGTGCATAGGTGGGAAAGCCCCATGAGTGCCTAAGTCAGATCCTCATTCCCAGGTTATATCCACCTTTGCTCTCTGCCATCCTCAGTGCATTGGTTTTTCCTTGCACCCTCCTCAACCAAACATGATGGCCGTCATAGCTGCAGGCCTCGGGGACAGACACAGCACCAGCTGGTGGAAGAAGAGGGGATGTTTAGCCCCGTGTACCTGTAAGGGCTAGACTGTCTTCCCCGGAAGTCCCTCAGCCATGTCTCCTTGGCCAGAAATGCCACCCATGCTCATTTCTAAAGCGGTCCTGGAAGAGAGAATGGGATGGTAACAGCTGGCCGAATGAAGCAGGTGACCATGTGAAGGAGCGGCAAATCACAGTTGTGCTGGGGAAGAAAAAGCAGGAAACAGATTTGCAGTAGGTAAAGAATGTGTCTGCCCCAGCCCACCGGGAGGGCAATATCTGAAAGGCCAGCATGGTTACAGTATGGTGTCAAGACAGGATATCAGAAAAGTTATATTCCAAGAGGTAGGCAAGAGCCTGGGGAGGGAGAGACTTGGCAGAAAGTTTGGTTTAACAGAGGTTAATGGGAAGCCAAAGAAGGATTTGGGCCTGAGGTGTGCACTGACCTGATTTTCACTCGAGGATTATTCCTATTCCAGCTACTCTGTGAACAGGGGTTGGACAGGGCAGCAGTGGAGGGTGGAGACCCTTGAGAGGCACTGTCAGGTGAGCAGTGAGAGTTGCTTCTACCAGGGAGGCAGTGATGGGGGTCAGGTGGTAGGGGTATTTTGGATGTGGGAGATAAAAGAGAAGTTTCAAGTATAAAGCCAAGTCTTTGGCTTAAGCAATCATGTAAATGGCTAAGAAAAAAGAATTAGGGGGTGGTGGAGGAGCAAGTTTAGGAGGATCAGGGAGATCAAGAATTTTGTCTTGGGCATGTTGGGACCTCTTTGAGATATCCATGGAATAGTGTATGTACATGGGGAGGTCAGAAGTCTGGGGGAGAGATCTGGGCATATATATACATATATCTGAGGATAGTTTGAACATAGTACATCCAA